TAGAGTATGTGGGCAGCAGGCTGGGATGGAGCAGGGCAGCGTTCAACTCTTGATGAAACTGGAAAGAGAAAGCTGGGAGGTTCTCCGAGAGGAGAAAAATCGGACAAAAAAAGTTACAGCAAAAAGAGAGGGAGAGAGGCTTTGCAGGAGCAGTTGGGCCAGCACTGCCAGAATCCCCCCAGGGCTCCTGCTAGGCTCCTGCTGGTGCGTCCCAAGGCCATGAAGGCCATCCCAGGGAGGACAGCCTGACTGCTCCCATGGGAACTGCTCCAGGTATCTTCCCAGCCGGCAGATCTACCGTTTAAGAAACAAGGAGGAGGTACCGTGTGGGTATCGGAACAGGGAATCTGCTTACAGCCCCTGAAGGCTGCAGAACATAAGATGATGTTCACTTCTTTCCATAAAAATACGTGGCTACTTCATTTGTGAAGAGGTTTATGGACAGAAGAGTTAAGCAGTTTGTTTTACAGTTGAATAAGTTGAAGTAATGTCTGCAACTATGAAAAGTGATTCCAGTTGATACTGCGTGTTGAAGTCGGTCTTCCAAAACCAATATGTTGTGTCAACAGTGAATAAATTGTAGCTGGGATGGTAACTTTGCAGATTGAGTTGCATTGGTGATAGGGGAAAATTGATTTCGATATGGATAATACAAACCATTTATGCTGGACTTTTAATTTGCTGGCCTATGACTTTGTTTCTCAAAAAAAGTGGAACTACTTCTTGTTTAGTTTATAAGGATTATGAAAGATTAAAAAACATTTAGGGAAGGGTGTTTTCAGTGCTCTGAAGTGACAGCTGGTGCTTGAGCACAGATATAGTTAAGTTTTAGTTTCTGTGTAGATACAGTAAATCTCTCTCTTTACAAGCTGAATTAGCTCTACTTTACTCACTATTAAGTAGCTGAAAGTTGCTTTGTATAACTCAGTGAGATGCAAGAGCATCTTCCAGAAATACAGTGAGGCATCACGCAATGCTTACCTGTTTCAAAAGGACTATTGTATTTCGGTGATGATGTTATTAACTACTTGTAATACCACTTTCAGAGATTCTTCTCCTGGCTAGACACAGCACGTCACTATGTTCGATGTGCGTTAGAAAAGCTTCAAGTCTTTATTTGCTGTTTTTGTGATACCTGGAAATAAATCAGTTGTGAAATGATACGCAGCCTTGGGGCCAGCAACTCATTCCTACTGTTGTCATAATGCCAGTGTAACTATATTCTGATTTTTCCAAGAGCTACCCTGTTTTGTTCAAGGCTGTGATGGACATTTCAGGTCTTTTCCTTCGTTAAACATCATTGCTCACTGGACTGAAGGTGGAGGTGAGAGGTTGTATGCTACTTTCATTAAATAGCCTAAGATACATATAGAAAAACTAAGCAGTTACTGGCTGCAGAGGCAGCTGAGCAGGTGACTGCAGGAGACTTGCTCGCCTTGTTTGCCCTTGTGCTGTGGGAGTCGGTATCAAGTGCTAAAGGAAGAGTGGCAGCCAGGCATGGTGACTCACCAATTCATAACTTCTTCCTCCCTAAGGAGGCAGAGCCTGAGATTCAGGGAGTGGTTTGGTGAATTAAATCTCGAGCCTGCTGTGAAATGGCATGGCTAATATGTGCTCTTTTCACTTTTGTTTGTTGTGTACCAGCTGAGCAAGGCTGTAAGGCTTAGGCAGCAATCCTGTCTGGAAGTAACCAGGTAAAACCGGGAATTTGAACTGCGTTTATGTTTGACTAAACATAAAAACCCCACAGAAGTAACAGAATCTCTAGGGATAGCGAGGGGCAGAAAAGGAGGAGGGGGGAGAAAGGAAAAGGATAGAAAGGAAAGCAGAGCCATCGCGTTCTTATTACCTATAGTGTGGAAAAAAGACTTGTTCTTGCTTCCTTGGCCAGAACCTCCTCTTTTCATGCTTCATGACTGTAATCTTGTCATTGTGTGGCAGTCTGCACTGTGCATGTAGTCCTGTGCATCCTGTTCTGCTGTGTAGTAAGAGCAAAATATTATTATTATATAGGTTCAGCTGTAAAGGTTTCCGGCTGTATCCTGTAGCATCAGACCATTTGCTGTTCGGCATGCCAAAGGTGTCACTGCTGTCTTGTTTTCGAAGGGGTCTGACAATACTATTTCATTAGAAGCCAGACAATATTTTGGGATGACGTGAGTACAGTCCCTAATTAGTCTTTTAAGCCTAGAAAAAATCTGACTCTGATTTCTATACAAGCGTTTGCTGTGTTACCTGCAGACCGTGGAGACTGAGGTGGTGGAGAGTCACCCACAGTTATCCCAGGCTGGCGCAGTATTCCACGGTGTTCTGGACGTGAAACCCTTCATGCAAGGAGCTGACAGCAGGGGCTTTGTGGCCCTTCAGAGCAGCGGTTGCTGATGCGGATGTAGATGCTGTGTTGGAGGGAACAGGAAGATGGCTGTGCATTGCATGCTGGTTCCTGTGGCTCGTGTGCTTACTTGTGCACCAAGTTTACACCTCTGTGTGCAATTTCGATAGCTTCTGTTTTCTGTCCATGTGAACACGCCTGGCCCCAAGCTGCGTTACTGTTCCTCGTCTGTCTTAGCAGGACATCTTTCTTTTCTGCTGAACAGGACAAGAATGGAGAAGGAGCCATGGAGCTGAAGAATATGAAGTCAGATCGCATGAAAGTGCTACAGATGGATGTGTGCAGTGACCAGGAGGTGGCTCAGGCGGTGGATTTTGTGAAGAGGACCCTGAAAGAGCCGGAGGAGGGTATGTGGGGTCTGTGTATTTCCAGCACAGCTGGCTCTTTGGCTCTTTGCTCACAGAATCCTTCCTACAGAGCAGGTCATGCACTGGCCAGGTCATTCCCTCTCTGCACTGCCAAAAGAGAGTTAACAAGCCTGGAGGCCTGTGACAGTGTGTGGCTGGCAGTCAGGCTGTGCTGTACCTGGGTCAGTGAGGAGAATTGTCTTGCTGTTGATGTGCTGGCCACATGGAAAGAGACGAAGACTGGCTGGAGGATTAGGCTCTAACTCTACATCCCATGAAAAGTGATGAGTGGCAGGAAGCCCGCAAGAGCCTGTGTCTTTCTCTTTGAGGGTCTATGAAGGACATAGGATGGCTGGAGCCTCATCTCCTGCTGGTGGTCCTGTTGCAGCCTGGCTCACACAGACCCTTCTGTAGTGGTCCTGCTAGTGAAGAGGTGACACACCATGGCTGCTTACTGCTGTGCCTTCTGCTGTGCTGGTACAACCTGTTCATGTAACTGAGTGCTGAGCTGGAGCACAAAAGTGACCTGCCCCCAGACCTGGATTGTTCTTCAGCCAGGTCAATCCATTCTTTCAATTTGCCATGCAACATCCCAGAGGTGATGTGATCCAGGGTGGGTTTGGCATAGACCACCTTAATCCACATGCCACCTTTAAGCACAAGTTCAGCTCATGGACTTGAAGAGCATGTGAAAGAAGATAGTCCCTTCTGTATGCTTCTTTCCTTCTTGGAAGTGGTTTGGCAGTGCGATGTGAGCTTACATTCGGAGCCTGGTGTGACACCACCTAAGCTCTTCCCATGTGGTGAGGTTATGAGGCTTCTTGCCCTGCATAGGTTTCACTGCAGCCTCTGTGTGAGTAGCGAGCGGGACAGCAGCTGTAGACCCAGGCTGAGGGTGGACTGAAGTTTCACATCTGTGGCTCCAGGACTTAAGGGTTGTGTGGCGGGAGGGTGGTTGCTGCTCTTGAAGCGTGGATTAGACTGCCATGGGCCTGTCTTTGTTCACAGCAAATATGAAGCTGGTGAATAACAATAGCTCTGGTCTTCATGCAAATTACGTGAGCACACCCTTCCTCCTGAAAGAAGCATATGAAGTGTAACCGACTTACGTACAAGCTCTGATCCCACACATGTTCTCTCTGCATGATTTTTCTTCCTACACAATCACCCAGCCCTTGTCACGCATTTCGCAGCCTCTCAAGCTCTTCCTGAAGAGCCCAGCAACAGCAGCGGTGGCACAGGGCCAATTCCCACTGAGTGAAAGCTTTAAGGGAGCAGCTCTGTTGCTTCTATAAATGCAGCAGTGTTTGCAAAACCGTGTGCGTAGCAGGGACAGAGAGGTCTTGCATCCTTGATCAGAAAGTTGGACCGGTTCCTCCTGTTCTTGAGAGCCTGATTGTGTGGTTGTTTGCTCCAGCACAGTGTGCAAATCAGCAAAGGCTTTTTTTTAGGTCCATCGGTGTGACTGAAGTTTGGGGCTTGCCAATAAAGAGTGCTCAATAAAGGAGTGGTGGAACATAGAGGCTGTTGAGACTGAGGTGCCTTGCCCAGAGGTGCTTGTTGCACACCATGTGTGGCCCCAGAGGAGCTAGAGCAGAACAGTTCTTGCACTGTACATCTATACGTCTTCTCTCCGTGCTATCTACGTAAGGCTAACCTCATTTTGATGGAGTGCCCCTGTTTGTTTTCAATCTTACGCAGTTCCCACTGTATTGTTGACACTAAAGAAATAATAGTGATAAGGCTCTGTTCAATAAACACACAGCTGTCCAGCAAACAGCCCTGTGACGGGGTACTTATCAGCACTTTGTTCTGTACGTAACGTGACCTCATGGGCTAGCAATGACATTCCAAGAATGAACTATTGTAAATAATGTGTTCATGAACGACCCTGAATCTAACCTTGTAACCCAAGAAATGGGAAATCATTGTAGGGAGACTTAGAATCGGGAATACTCTGCAGAGGTCAGTTTGGGACTGACAGTTTAAGTCTTTTGTGATCTTTCATAAATCCCTGACAAATTTGCTCTGCATAGCTTTTGTTACTGGTGAAATTATACCATCAGATGCCCTGTTTCTGTGGTCCTCCTGCTAGCGATTGGAGCATGCTTTGCAGCAGCGCGGGGGACCCCATTGAGGCTGAGATGCCGTGCTGGCTGCCAGATGAGTGTGAATTTTGGAGTTGTCTTGATTCATTAAAGCTGGAAGCTTCAGTAAGTGCGGTAGCAACAGGGAGGGGATCTTGGGCAGGGCAGGAGTAGAACTACCAGACTGTTGCATTTAGAAACTTGAATTAATAAAAATGGAAGTAAAGATAGGTGATCGAGACGTTTTCTTGGGTTTTGCTGCAGGCCACGACTTAGCTGTGGCCTGATGGGGATTGGGAAAGGGTTGTTCTGGAGGAGGATAGAGCTTCAGGCCAGTGAACTGGAGCAATATTCACCACCCACTGTCTGTCAGAGTCAGTATGCAGGGCAAAAGGGGTGCTGGGATCACCACGTGAGAGCTGGGAGATGTGGGAATGGTGGCAGCTATGAGAGGCAAATAGGCAAAGCCATTCTGGGACAGACCATGAGAAAGTGGTTAATGCACTGTTATCACTGGGTAGGACACGGCCTTCTCTGGTCCACTGTTGTACTGGTTTTGGCTGGGGTAGAGTTGACTTTCTTCCTAGTAGCTAGCGTGAGGCTTTGTTTTGGATTTGTGCTGGAAACAGTGTTGATAACACAGGGATGTCTTAGCTATCGCTCAGCAGTGCTTACCCAGAGCCAAGGCCTGTTCTGCTCCTCATCCCCCCACCAGCGAGCAGGCTGGGGGGCACAAGGAGTTGGGAGGGGACACAGCCAGGACAGCTGACCCCAGCTGACCAAAGGGATATTCCATGTCATATGACATCATGCTCAGCATATGAAGCTGGGGGAAGAAGAAAAAAGGGAGGGACGTTTGGAGTGATCGTGGTTGTCTTCCCAAGTAACCGTTACGTGTGATGGAGCCCTGATTCCCTGGAGACGGCTGAGCACCTGCCTGCCGCTGGGAAGGAGTGACTGAATTCCTTGTTCTGCTTTGCTTTGCTTGTGTGTGTGGCTTTTGCTTTGCCTGTTGAAGTGTCCTTATGTCAACCCACGAGTTTTCTCACTTTTACCCTTCTGATTCTCTCCCCCATCCTACCAGGGAGGAGTGAGTGAGCAGCTGTCCCGTGCTTAGCTGCTGGCTGGGGTTGAGCCGTGACAGCTATACACAGCTGGTCAGCAGCCTTCAGGGAAAATGAACTTGGCTGGGAAGAGGGCAGGGTTACTAGGGCCAGTGTGACAGTAGGGAGCCAGTCTGGCAAGGGTGTGCTGATGTTTTTAAACGCACAGGAGGATAAATTCCGTTGGTATTTATTTGGCAATGGTAGAATATTGAATTTTGCTTAGAGGGTTGTGTTTGGTGCAATACATGGTTACTATCTGACTGTGAATAAATACGGGCTAGAAGTTATTAAAAGGCTTTCATACATCAGGGCAGGGAAGCTATGGAGCAGAGGCAGGGCAAACAGCCCCAAAAATTTTGAGAGCGAGCTTGGCAAGCTTTATCAACAGAGTGGCATGACATGAGTGCTTTTGATAGCAATGTCAGAGCTCCATGGGCATGAAGACTCCTTCTTAGCCCTATGTGTGTTCTTGGTGGTAAGAGGAAAGTCAGGGAGAAGAAAGGGGCCCCAACTCCAACTGGGAACTTACACAGTGAAAAATGACTATGGTGTAGGGCAGGACATCTAATGAGGAGCAACTCTGTTATCTTGTTCTGTTTGTTCCTCCTGCAGTTTGTGGCTGCATAGTCCCTGTGCTTCAACAAATTCGCAAAGTACGGTCTCAGTCCTGCAAAAGTTTGCCATGGGGACTCCTGCAGTAGTCAGTGCAAAGGGCCCAGTCCTTGGTGGCCTGCTGAGTCCTGGACATGTAAGGGGCTCAGTGCAGAAGCTCTTGGTAAGTATAGTCAGTTTAATTTTGGCAGGACTGCAAGCAAAAAAGATGTTCATTTTTAAATTCTAGTAGTTTTAAGGGTTGGTTGTACGCTTGCCATGTACTGCTATACTTAGGATTGAGGGAAACCAAATACCTGGACTGAAATACAGGAGCTATTAACCGGGCCATGAACCTGCAGACCAGTATCATGCACTCTTCAAATCAGTGAGTCAGAGTTGTGAAGGGGATTTAGAAATCCAAGAAATTTAGTTTTCTTTTTTGTTTTGTTTTGTTTGGTTTTTTGTTGTTGTTGTTGTTTTTTAAATTGAGGCTAAGTCCAGACCCTCCAAATTGCAAGAGCCATGATAAAGTCACTGAGTGGAGTCAAACCTGGGACAAAGAGGGTCAGCCAGATGCAGCCATACAAAGCCCCGGGGCAGAATTTGACCTTAGAGGAGACAGTCCAAGAGGAAATGCTTGTGTGACACTATCACTCTCCCTAATGCTTTTAACAAGCCACACTGGCTTCACTTCTGGTATATCAAGAGTGTATTTAATCTCCTTGCTTTTTCTCCACAACTTTTTTTCTACAGAAGTGCCCAGTTCTTTGTCAGGGGGTTGGGTTACTTTGTACAACAAGGAAGGCTGCTTCTCCGTGGCACTCTTCCTCGTTCCACTCTAACCGTGTGCTTATTGGCAGGTCTGTGGGGCCTGGTGAAGAATGCTGGCGTCTCAGCTTTCGGAGAGGTGGAATTTGCAAGTTTAGACAACTACAAGAACATGGCAGAGATCAACCTGTGGGGCACCGTGAGGGTGACAAAGGCTTTCCTGCCCCTCATTCGCAAAGCAAGAGGTACGTGGTGGGCAGTGTGGCAAGACTCAGAGAAAGCTTTTGCAGCACAGCAAAGAGATGTTGCTGAAAATCATGACTCTGTGCTTCATGGAATGCCTGTGCAGTCCAAGGAGGGTGTCCAAGGCACGCAGGCGAACTAGACAGCAGGGTTCAAATGCTGTGTAAGCATTTGGTAGTACAGGCCACTCTTGGGGCAGTCCAAGCACCTACGTAGCAGGTGCTATCTTAAACATCCTGGGATACCAGAGACCTGTGTGCAGTGCCAGCAGATATGACACAGGACTCCAGGCCATCTTTAGAAAAAGTGACCGGGGGCCAGACAAGATAGTTCTGGCCTCCAGAGTCCACCAAGTGCTTATGTTTGGATAACTGAATCTTTTCCCTTCCTGTTATTCACCTCACAGATGATTGCAGTGGTAGTCGTTCTAGTAGCTGGCGTGAGGCTTTGTTTTGGATTTTTGCTTGGAACAGTGTTGATAACACAGGGATGTCTTAGCTATCGCTCAGCAGTGCTTACCCAGAGCCAAGGCCTGTTCTGCTCCTCATCCCCCCACTAATATGTGCTCTTTTCACTTTTGTTTGTTGTGTACCAGCTGAGCAAGGCTGTAAGGCTTAGGCAGCAATCCTGTCTGGAAGTAACCAGGTAAAACCGGGAATTTGAACTGCGTTTATGTTTGACTAAACATAAAAACCCCACAGAAGTAACAGAATCTCTAGGGATAGCGAGGGGCAGAAAAGGAGGAGGGGGGAGAAAGGAAAAGGATAGAAAGGAAAGCAGAGCCATCGCGTTCTTATTACCTATAGTGTGGAAAAAAGACTTGTTCTTGCTTCCTTGGCCAGAACCTCCTCTTTTCATGCTTCATGACTGTAATCTTGTCATTGTGTGGCAGTCTGCACTGTGCATGTAGTCCTGTGCATCCTGTTCTGCTGTGTAGTAAGAGCAAAATATTATTATTATATAGGTTCAGCTGTAAAGGTTTCCGGCTGTATCCTGTAGCATCAGACCATTTGCTGTTCGGCATGCCAAAGGTGTCACTGCTGTCTTGTTTTCGAAGGGGTCTGACAATACTATTTCATTAGAAGCCAGACAATATTTTGGGATGACGTGAGTACAGTCCCTAATTAGTCTTTTAAGCCTAGAAAAAATCTGACTCTGATTTCTATACAAGCGTTTGCTGTGTTACCTGCAGACCGTGGAGACTGAGGTGGTGGAGAGTCACCCACAGTTATCCCAGGCTGGCGCAGTATTCCACGGTGTTCTGGACGTGAAACCCTTCATGCAAGGAGCTGACAGCAGGGGCTTTGTGGCCCTTCAGAGCAGCGGTTGCTGATGCGGATGTAGATGCTGTGTTGGAGGGAACAGGAAGATGGCTGTGCATTGCATGCTGGTTCCTGTGGCTCGTGTGCTTACTTGTGCACCAAGTTTACACCTCTGTGTGCAATTTCGATAGCTTCTGTTTTCTGTCCATGTGAACACGCCTGGCCCCAAGCTGCGTTACTGTTCCTCGTCTGTCTTAGCAGGACATCTTTCTTTTCTGCTGAACAGGACAAGAATGGAGAAGGAGCCATGGAGCTGAAGAATATGAAGTCAGATCGCATGAAAGTGCTACAGATGGATGTGTGCAGTGACCAGGAGGTGGCTCAGGCGGTGGATTTTGTGAAGAGGACCCTGAAAGAGCCGGAGGAGGGTATGTGGGGTCTGTGTATTTCCAGCACAGCTGGCTCTTTGGCTCTTTGCTCACAGAATCCTTCCTACAGAGCAGGTCATGCACTGGCCAGGTCATTCCCTCTCTGCACTGCCAAAAGAGAGTTAACAAGCCTGGAGGCCTGTGACAGTGTGTGGCTGGCAGTCAGGCTGTGCTGTACCTGGGTCAGTGAGGAGAATTGTCTTGCTGTTGATGTGCTGGCCACATGGAAAGAGACGAAGACTGGCTGGAGGATTAGGCTCTAACTCTACATCCCATGAAAAGTGATGAGTGGCAGGAAGCCCGCAAGAGCCTGTGTCTTTCTCTTTGAGGGTCTATGAAGGACATAGGATGGCTGGAGCCTCATCTCCTGCTGGTGGTCCTGTTGCAGCCTGGCTCACACAGACCCTTCTGTAGTGGTCCTGCTAGTGAAGAGGTGACACACCATGGCTGCTTACTGCTGTGCCTTCTGCTGTGCTGGTACAACCTGTTCATGTAACTGAGTGCTGAGCTGGAGCACAAAAGTGACCTGCCCCCAGACCTGGATTGTTCTTCAGCCAGGTCAATCCATTCTTTCAATTTGCCATGCAACATCCCAGAGGTGATGTGATCCAGGGTGGGTTTGGCATAGACCACCTTAATCCACATGCCACCTTTAAGCACAAGTTCAGCTCATGGACTTGAAGAGCATGTGAAAGAAGATAGTCCCTTCTGTATGCTTCTTTCCTTCTTGGAAGTGGTTTGGCAGTGCGATGTGAGCTTACATTCGGAGCCTGGTGTGACACCACCTAAGCTCTTCCCATGTGGTGAGGTTATGAGGCTTCTTGCCCTGCATAGGTTTCACTGCAGCCTCTGTGTGAGTAGCGAGCGGGACAGCAGCTGTAGACCCAGGCTGAGGGTGGACTGAAGTTTCACATCTGTGGCTCCAGGACTTAAGGGTTGTGTGGCGGGAGGGTGGTTGCTGCTCTTGAAGCGTGGATTAGACTGCCATGGGCCTGTCTTTGTTCACAGCAAATATGAAGCTGGTGAATAACAATAGCTCTGGTCTTCATGCAAATTACGTGAGCACACCCTTCCTCCTGAAAGAAGCATATGAAGTGTAACCGACTTACGTACAAGCTCTGATCCCACACATGTTCTCTCTGCATGATTTTTCTTCCTACACAATCACCCAGCCCTTGTCACGCATTTCGCAGCCTCTCAAGCTCTTCCTGAAGAGCCCAGCAACAGCAGCGGTGGCACAGGGCCAATTCCCACTGAGTGAAAGCTTTAAGGGAGCAGCTCTGTTGCTTCTATAAATGCAGCAGTGTTTGCAAAACCGTGTGCGTAGCAGGGACAGAGAGGTCTTGCATCCTTGATCAGAAAGTTGGACCGGTTCCTCCTGTTCTTGAGAGCCTGATTGTGTGGTTGTTTGCTCCAGCACAGTGTGCAAATCAGCAAAGGCTTTTTTTTAGGTCCATCGGTGTGACTGAAGTTTGGGGCTTGCCAATAAAGAGTGCTCAATAAAGGAGTGGTGGAACATAGAGGCTGTTGAGACTGAGGTGCCTTGCCCAGAGGTGCTTGTTGCACACCATGTGTGGCCCCAGAGGAGCTAGAGCAGAACAGTTCTTGCACTGTACATCTATACGTCTTCTCTCCGTGCTATCTACGTAAGGCTAACCTCATTTTGATGGAGTGCCCCTGTTTGTTTTCAATCTTACGCAGTTCCCACTGTATTGTTGACACTAAAGAAATAATAGTGATAAGGCTCTGTTCAATAAACACACAGCTGTCCAGCAAACAGCCCTGTGACGGGGTACTTATCAGCACTTTGTTCTGTACGTAACGTGACCTCATGGGCTAGCAATGACATTCCAAGAATGAACTATTGTAAATAATGTGTTCATGAACGACCCTGAATCTAACCTTGTAACCCAAGAAATGGGAAATCATTGTAGGGAGACTTAGAATCGGGAATACTCTGCAGAGGTCAGTTTGGGACTGACAGTTTAAGTCTTTTGTGATCTTTCATAAATCCCTGACAAATTTGCTCTGCATAGCTTTTGTTACTGGTGAAATTATACCATCAGATGCCCTGTTTCTGTGGTCCTCCTGCTAGCGATTGGAGCATGCTTTGCAGCAGCGCGGGGGACCCCATTGAGGCTGAGATGCCGTGCTGGCTGCCAGATGAGTGTGAATTTTGGAGTTGTCTTGATTCATTAAAGCTGGAAGCTTCAGTAAGTGCGGTAGCAACAGGGAGGGGATCTTGGGCAGGGCAGGAGTAGAACTACCAGACTGTTGCATTTAGAAACTTGAATTAATAAAAATGGAAGTAAGGATAGGTGATCGAGACGTTTTCTTGGGTTTTGCTGCAGGCCACGACTTAGCTGTGGCCTGATGGGGATTGGGAAAGGGTTGTTCTGGAGGAGGATAGAGCTTCAGGCCAGTGAACTGGAGCAATATTCACCACCCACTGTCTGTCAGAGTCAGCATGCAGGGCAAAAGGGGTGCTGGGATCACCACGTGAGAGCTGGGAGATGTGGGAATGGTGGCAGCTATGAGAGGCAAATAGGCAAAGCCATTCTGGGACAGACCATGAGAAAGTGGTTAATGCACTGTTATCACTGGGTAGGACACGGCCTTCTCTGGTCCACTGTTGTACTGGTTTTGGCTGGGGTAGAGTTGACTTTCTTCCTAGTAGCTAGCGTGAGGCTTTGTTTTGGATTTGTGCTGGAAACAGTGTTGATAACACAGGGATGTCTTAGCTATCGCTCAGCAGTGCTTACCCAGAGCCAAGGCCTGTTCTGCTCCTCATCCCCCCACCAGCGAGCAGGCTGGGGGGCACAAGGAGTTGGGAGGGGACACAGCCAGGACAGCTGACCCCAGCTGACCAAAGGGATATTCCATGTCATATGACATCATGCTCAGCATATGAAGCTGGGGGAAGAAGAAAAAAGGGAGGGACGTTTGGAGTGATGGTGGTTGTCTTCCCAAGTAACCGTTACGTGTGATGGAGCCCTGATTCCCTGGAGACGGCTGAGCACCTGCCTGCCGCTGGGAAGGAGTGACTGAATTCCTTGTTCTGCTTTGCTTTGCTTGTGTGTGTGGCTTTTGCTTTGCCTGTTGAAGTGTCCTTATGTCAACCCACGAGTTTTCTCACTTTTACCCTTCTGATTCTCTCCCCCATCCTACCAGGGAGGAGTGAGTGAGCAGCTGTCCCGTGCTTAGCTGCTGGCTGGGGTTGAGCCGTGACAGCTATACACAGCTGGTCAGCAGCCTTCAGGGAAAATGAACTTGGCTGGGAAGAGGGCAGGGTTACTAGGGCCAGTGTGACAGTAGGGAGCCAGTCTGGCAAGGGTGTGCTGATGTTTTTAAACGCACAGGAGGATAAATTCCGTTGGTATTTATTTGGCAATGGTAGAATATTGAATTTTGCTTAGAGGGTTGTGTTTGGTGCAATACATGGTTACTATCTGACTGTGAATAAATACGGGCTAGAAGTTATTAAAAGGCTTTCATACATCAGGGCAGGGAAGCTATGGAGCAGAGGCAGGGCAAACAGCCCCAAAAATTTTGAGAGCGAGCTTGGCAAGCTTTATCAACAGAGTGGCATGACATGAGTGCTTTTGATAGCAATGTCAGAGCTCCATGGGCATGAAGACTCCTTCTTAGCCCTATGTGTGTTCTTGGTGGTAAGAGGAAAGTCAGGGAGAAGAAAGGGGCCCCAACTCCAACTGGGAACTTACACAGTGAAAAATGACTATGGTGTAGGGCAGGACATCTAATGAGGAGCAACTCTGTTATCTTGTTCTGTTTGTTCCTCCTGCAGTTTGTGGCTGCATAGTCCCTGTGCTTCAACAAATTCGCAAAGTACGGTCTCAGTCCTGCAAAAGTTTGCCATGGGGACTCCTGCAGTAGTCAGTGCAAAGGGCCCAGTCCTTGGTGGCCTGCTGAGTCCTGGACATGTAAGGGGCTCAGTGCAGAAGCTCTTGGTAAGTATAGTCAGTTTAATTTTGGCAGGACTGCAAGCAAAAAAGATGTTCATTTTTAAATTCTAGTAGTTTTAAGGGTTGGTTGTACGCTTGCCATGTACTGCTATACTTAGGATTGAGGGAAACCAAATACCTGGACTGAAATACAGGAGCTATTAACCGGGCCATGAACCTGCAGACCAGTATCATGCACTCTTCAAATCAGTGAGTCAGAGTTGTGAAGGGGATTTAGAAATCCAAGAAATTTAGTTTTCTTTTTTGTTTTGTTTTGTTTGGTTTTTTGTTGTTGTTGTTGTTTTTTAAATTGAGGCTAAGTCCAGACCCTCCAAATTGCAAGAGCCATGATAAAGTCACTGAGTGGAGTCAAACCTGGGACAAAGAGGGTCAGCCAGATGCAGCCATACAAAGCCCCGGGGCAGAATTTGACCTTAGAGGAGACAGTCCAAGAGGAAATGCTTGTGTGACACTATCACTCTCCCTAATGCTTTTAACAAGCCACACTGGCTTCACTTCTGGTATATCAAGAGTGTATTTAATCTCCTTGCTTTTTCTCCACAACTTTTTTTCTACAGAAGTGCCCAGTTCTTTGTCAGGGGGTTGGGTTACTTTGTACAACAAGGAAGGCTGCTTCTCCGTGGCACTCTTCCTCGTTCCACTCTAACCGTGTGCTTATTGGCAGGTCTGTGGGGCCTGGTGAAGAATGCTGGCGTCTCAGCTTTCGGAGAGGTGGAATTTGCAAGTTTAGACAACTACAAGAACATGGCAGAGATCAACCTGTGGGGCACCGTGAGGGTGACAAAGGCTTTCCTGCCCCTCATTCGCAAAGCAAGAGGTACGTGGTGGGCAGTGTGGCAAGACTCAGAGAAAGCTTTTGCAGCACAGCAAAGAGATGTTGCTGAAAATCATGACTCTGTGCTTCATGGAATGCCTGTGCAGTCCAAGGAGGGTGTCCAAGGCACGCAGGCGAACTAGACAGCAGGGTTCAAATGCTGTGTAAGCATTTGGTAGTACAGGCCACTCTTGGGGCAGTCCAAGCACCTACGTAGCAGGTGCTATCTTAAACATCCTGGGATACCAGAGACCTGTGTGCAGTGCCAGCAGATATGACACAGGACTCCAGGCCATCTTTAGAAAAAGTGACCGGGGGCCAGACAAGATAGTTCTGGCCTCCAGAGTCCACCAAGTGCTTATGTTTGGATAACTGAATCTTTTCCCTTCCTGTTATTCACCTCACAGATGATTGCAGTGGTAGTAGTGGAATAAATGAGAGCCATTTTAGATATCTTGCAAGACAACAGTATTATCAAAAGTGTTTTGTATTTTTAAAAAAAAAGTATGAGCACAACTCCGAAGAGCTTCCTTATTTAGCATGTATGGGAAAATGCTGGCACAGCTGAGTGCTCTGAGGGCAGAAAGGGGTTATATTGAGAAGATTGCTCAGATATCGTTTCCAGAAAGGAAGTACCCAGTAAAGAAGCCCCATCTCGCTACAAAAGGTAGCTTACCCATCAGGTCAGCAGGTGGTTCTCATAGTCCCTCCAAGCTGCACTTAGGTCTGGAATGAGAGAGCAGAGCGACCTGCTTGTTTCTCAGCTAAAATCTCAAGCTGCAGAAGGATGTCATGCTCCACAGCTGTGAAAATCCTCTCTGTAAAAATAGCTGGTGAGATTTCAAGGACCTGTTTGGAAGTGTATCTGAAACCATAACTGCACACATCTTGTCTTGTGGAAGGACAGAGCCACCCACGGAGGAGTGACCACTGCTATCATTGCCCCGAGGCAGTGCATGACCTAACAGAAGCTGTCAGAGCTCTGTGATTGGGCTGGCATGGGCTGCTGGTGGGAGTTAGGACAATTGCTCTTCGCTGCCCTGTAGACAGCAGCACATCAAGTCTCCTCTCCGTTTGTCCCAGGCATGTAGCACTCTAGGCACTCCTGGCTGGCCAGCTGGGTGAGCAGGCTGCGCTGCTCATGCTGCAGGTTCAGAGAACCCTCCACTGGTTCTCTGCCATCCAGCTCGGGTGTAGAAGCATGTAGCTGTGTTAGGCAGAGTGGCTGCAGATGAGCTGTCATGCTTACAGAAGGAACCAGAAAGCTTGTACGGCATCAACCTGTGTGCTTTCCAGCTCATAACACTGCTAGCTGGGAGCTTGAACACTTCGCTAGCAAGACGTAGGAGTGGGGCACGCTGCTGTCAGAGCAGACAGCCAGTAGCCTCAGAAGATCTGGGTACTTCGATACTTGGAAATGAGGAGGGAAATCTCTTTGCAAATCCTGTTTTATAGAGGCAGGCATGTGTGCCGTCCATGGAGGAGGTCAGAGCAGGGCCTTGCCTTGCTTGAGTAAGGAGAGAAAGGCTCCTTGACAGGGAATTTGGATGCCTCTTTAAGATTCAGATTTTACAAATCAGCGTCATCCAGCAAAGCACCTTTTTACTGGGTTGTTCTGTTTGCTTCTTCTGCAGCCCATCATCTCGCCCTGCTCTTTTCTCTCTAGGCCATGTGGTGAATATCACGAGCATGTTGGGACGGATGGCGAGCCCATCTCGCTCCTGCTACTGCATTTCCAAGTTTGGGGTGGCCGCCTTCTCCGACTGCCTCCGGCAGGAGATGTACCGCTGGGGTGTCAGAGTCATCCTCATTGAGCCCAGTAACTTCGTGGCAGCGACAGGCATCCTGACGGCGGACGGCGTCGACAGACAGGCTGAGGCACTGTGGAGCGGAGCGAGCGACGCTGTGCGGGAGGACTACGGGAGGGAGTACTTCACTCGCCACGTGGCCCTGATGAAGTCCTTCGTTAACAGTGGCCTGAAGGACATGTCTCTGGTCTTGAATGACATCGTCGATGCACTCACCTCCCTGTGCCCAAACAACCGTTACAATCCCATGGAGACCTACTGGTGGGTGAGGCTGCAAGTCATGACTCACCTGCCCACTGCCGTTGCCGACTGGCTTTACGTCCCTGGAGCCACGCTGTAAACGGCCGTCCTTCAGGCCTCCTTCCAGTGCTCGGGCGTATGCACAGGTTAGAGCTGACGTCGTCAGGGCTGTCTGCACCCTCGCTGATGCATCTACCCCCCAGGTTCATGCACTTTTATTTTGGGTTATGGCTTCAGGTCTGGTGTTGTGGGATGCTGGGAACAGCATGGCTTTTTTGTTCTTCTTTTCCTAATTCTTGCTTTCTGTATTCCCTGCTGCCCCGATTAAAGTTGAAAGGTGTTTTCCTTTTAACTGTGGAGGATGCAGAGGAAGGTTAACATAATGGGTGAAATATGTGGCTAGTGTAATTAGGTCAGCAGAGTTCCCCCAGTGATAAATTTGGCTCATTAATGGGCTCTTGCTTTTCTTTACAAGGACAGGCTGCTAATAGCCGAGCAAAGCTGTTGCTATGAGGTGTCTCGAAGGGAGAAACTAAAATGGGAAACAAAAGCAGAGTTTTCCATTTGAAAATGGGTCAGTCACAGCCTTCTGTTGTTTTCGTGATCCTGCTAGGAAGCTCTGCTGCGCTGCGACTGTCTGCTCTTTCCAGCAAAACAGCAACACTGCCTCTAAACAGCCTCATTACCTAGCTCGGAGAGGGGGGGGGTCAGATCCCTGTAAAGAAGGGTTCTTCCCTCCCAGCGCTGTGGCCGTGAGCTGCCAGAGCCAGCGACTGCAGGCAGGCTGGGTGGGGAAAAGCCCGTCTAATAATGAGTGAGGTCTGAGCCATCCCTGGATTAGTCCCGGTGGGTGGTGGGATTTGCAGCCTCTCTCCACCCACTGCTGATGAGCTTTGTGGGACAGGGTTGAATCTGATGCAAACACATTTGCCTCCTCTGACTGCTGCCTTAGGTACCGGTGCCTGAACTGCCCCACTGCGGTACAGGCACTGTCCAGCCTTCCCATTGCTTCCCTCATGTCACTGCCCTGTGCTAGGCTCCCTTTTGCTTTCCCAAATCAGTTTTTTGGTTTCATCCTCTCTGCACTTGAACTGTGCAGCCAGTGTGGCCTGACTATGAGCTCTGGAAGGGTGCTCAAAGTGGCACTTTTTTAATATTGCACAGTGAAATTTCCATGTCACACCTGATCGTCTCTTCAGAGAACCTCCTGATGATAACTGGTATGAGCTACTTTTGCACAGTATCCCCAAGGGTCTCTCCTGTTGGCCATTTAGAGGGATTTCAATCATTTTTCCAAGTGCTGGGGCTGCCTGGCCTCATGCCCCATTCCCTCTGTCCCAGTGGTGACCAGTGCAGCAGCCAGCGGGCCGTGGGTGCTGCTGGCCAGGCTGGGACCCAGCCCTCTTGAGGGACCAGCTTTCCCTTCTGCTGCTAAACTTTGTTCTGTTTTGTCCTAAGTGAGATTAAGTGGCTGGGAAAAGAGCTTATTGTTTGCTCTTTCCTCATCTGTCTCTGCTAGCTCTGACTTGGAAACTGCCATAAAATTTTTGTATGCCGCTGGCTGTAAATGCTTGGAGTCTGCATGCAGCCGTGAATGCTGTGATGCCTGAGGAGCAAATCAGGATTCCCTTGGAGATGCTGTGGAGGTAGCTTGTATTACAAGTAACACCTGCTGGAAATGCTGGCCGTGCAGTTCTTTTATATTCCAGATCATCAGCACATGGAGATTGCCTGGGATCCAGGACCCAGAACAATCCCACTGAACTGCAGCTTGAGCAGTGCTGTAATCACTCCTGCCCCCTGCACTGTGAGATGTGAGTAATGTTAAGTAGCACTGATTTGCACAGAGAGAAGAATAAACTGTGAGATTTGTAAAGCACATGTCTGTGTCTCCAGTGCTCCTTTCTACATTGGCTTTCCCACCGGCTTTGAATTTGAGTTCAGGATTTAATTGGGCTCCGTAATTAAGGAGGTGGCAGTGGTTCAGCTTACTGCCTGGAGCAGCACGACCCGTTTCATCAGCAGACGGCAGCTAGAGAGGCCTCTCTGCAAACACTTACACCGTCGGTGTTTGTGTTTTCTGTGGTTTCCTTCCAATGGCAGCACTGAGAGAGTGGTGCTGCGCATTAGTCGTTGCCTCAGCACGCTGTGTGTAACTAATCCAAACGCTACAGCTGCCTGGTAATAAGGATTAGCTCTTCTCATGGGCAGAATGGAGGCTTGCAAGGTAAGAAGTGTCTGAGGCCATGCAAGGACCTCGTGGCCGAGCCAGGGTTAGGATTTCACAGCATGTGAGCCCCAGTCCCTTCCTCTGCCCCTCAGAAGTGCTCCGGCGAGCTGTCAGCGCCTGATCTAACTAATCCAAACGCTACAGCTGCCTGGTAATAAGGATTAGCTCTTCTCATGGGCAGAATGGAGGCTTGCAAGGTAAGAAGTGTCTGAGGCCATGCAAGGACCTCGTGGCCGAGCCAGGGTTAGGATTTCACAGCATGTGAGCCCCAGTCCCTTCCTCTGCCCCTCAGAAGTGCTCCGGCGAGCTGTCAGCGCCTGATCTGGCTGCTGCCTGGGTGGGGAGCTCTGGGTGGGTGTCTGGGGTGAGTGGAGCAGAGTGCGGGTGCGGGAAGAGCAGGTATCAGGTGGTTCTGGGCAGTGCAGATGATCACGTGAACTCTGAGCCAGCAGAGCAAAGCCAAGACACCCGAGCAGGTCCCTTCCCATCTTGAGCTTCCAGCAGCCATTCAGCATCCAGCGAAAACTTTGTTCTGAACTCTGTTCCCTGAGGCAGCCGGACCCTTGTTTTGCACCGTAGGGTTGCATGAATGCAGGCATTGAGGGCAGATCATTGTCTTGCTGGTAACAGAGGGAAGAAGTCTCAATTCCATTTGACAGTGACCTTCAAAGCCAGAGGACAGAGGAGACAGAAGGAAATCCAGTGAAATCCCCTGGACGTCCCTGCTCATTGCTGCTGTGGTATCCCATGAGGAGTTAGGCTGCTGAAGGTGCCCGTGGCTTTCCTTTCGAGGGCCAGCTGCTGAGGCTGTGGCAGTGTCCTACCTTTTTTCTGTTTGTTTCCCACAATGCTTTGGAAGACAGTGATGGTACAGCTCCTTTGTGCACCCTTTAGCCTTTGTGAAGTGTCTCTGTTTTCCCTTTCAGATCAGCATGGTTCTTCTGATGGCACTGGGAACCAAAAGTGGTCCTCTGCATGGCGTGGTTGCTCTGGTTCAGCTTAACACAGCGAGGGGCCTCCTGGGGTCTCCCAAGCAAGCGCTGTGAGTCTGGGTACACCAGATAGCTTCAGGTTCTTTCCATCTTGACCAGAAGCCAAACCCCAGTGTGTGTCCCAGACCTCATGGCACCTGTGGTTTCTGGTTTAGTCCCAACATGAAACCTCCACTAGCAGCCAAGGGAGAGTTTAGAAGACAAAAAGCTGACTGCAGGTGAAATGAATGAAGATAATCTCTAAAAGCCAAAGGAAACTAGAAGTGTCTTCTGAGTGGCAAGGGCTGCAGAGGAAGTGGTTCATTTCAGGCGGAGGTGAGAAGCAGCACATTGCTATGGAGATCCCTCATTGATAGCACTGCATGGGTGTATCTCCACAATGAGCTACATAGAGGACGGGAATGTATGCTGCTTCCTCTGGGCTTCAAAAGTCTTTACCACAGTCAAGAGTGGCTGATGTCCTAGGTTTGGCGCTCTGATGTGGCTGAAGATCTCAAGCAGTTGCAGAGCTGTCCAGGAGGCGTTCTGGGCTGCGTGGTGTTGCTGGGAACTATGCTCGACAGTCTGCTGGGCAAGACCCAGCACTCAGACTGCCCCATTTGCTCCTCTGCCTAGTGAGCCCAGCTAACGGATGCTCCTGTTTCTGGCCAGATGATGCGTGTGGCTGACTTGTGGCACTGTCTGCTGTGTAACCTGTCGCTCTGACACCCGGGACGGAGCCGATAGGTGTTAGGGGAAAGTTTAGGATTGGAGAAGTACTTATTGTGTGTCTGTCTTTGAACCTGCAGCTGAGGAGCTGCCTACTGCCAGAAATGTTACAGGGAAAAGGGGGCCAGTGATGGCAGTGCTTTCACGCACAGCAACGGCCCTGGAAACGGGACGGGAGATTACCCAGGGCAGCTCTCCTCTGCCCAGGTCAGGGCCTTACTTCTGCTTCCTTGGTCGTGCCTTCCCTGCTCCAAAGGTCTCCACAACAGCCACCACAGCTCAGAAAGGCCACCGAGGTCTTGCCTTGTGCAGAGAGGTGCTGGCCCAGCCGCGCTGCCGGCAGCCAGGGCAGTGTGCGGGAGCAGGACACCTTCTCCGGCTCGCCCCTTCTGCAGGGAGCTCTGCTCATCGGCACCCAGCTCTGCAACAGTGCCACCCAGCACACCCTGAAACGGGACTCGTCCCTAGCGTCTTAGAAACCGTAAGACCTAGGAAACCCAGGATGGGGGTATCTTTTCAGCTCGGGGACCCCCCTGGATGCGACAGCGCTGTGTAAATAGCAACAGCAGCACCTGCTCTTCTGGTTTTGCAACAGGAATTTTCAGTTTCTTGTGCAACCACAATGCTGAGAAATGTCTTAGAAACAAACCAAAACCGACACCAGCCGGTTTCTCAGCCAGCTGCCTGAGTCCTGGCCATTGGAGAGACGCTACAAATAGCACGAGAATTTCTAATGGAGCCAGCTCCACCTCCAGGGCCTGGGCTGGAGCCAGATACAATCAGTTCATTCTCAGCAGCGCTGGGAGGGCTACAGGGATGCTACTGATACAGCCATATCGTCCTCTCCCCTGGCACTCCTTGGGGAAGGCGGCAGACTTGCGTCTTCACCTCAGAAGAGTGACATGAGATAATACTTCTGCCCTGGCAGGAGCTCATCAGGAGGCACAAAGCAGACGTGCACGCAGGTCTCCTGCAGCACGCGGTGCCTTCTCCTGCAGCGTCTTGGTGGTTGAAGCAGCTCTTCAGAGCTCGCAGCAGGATGCGGGGAGAGGCATGTGCTGAGCCGAGGAGCTCTGCTGTGAGCACATCGCCAGCTCAGTGCTGGCTGGCGGCATCAGCCTGCTGCTGCAGGAGGCAGCTCTGGGCACAGCGCTTGGCTGAGCCGGTCGG